CTCACAGCCATAAGGAGAATTGAAGATTCAAGTTTTAAAAGTGTATATTACAAGACTTCGAAATAAGGGAAAGTGATACATCTTTGTACCTTGGCCATCTATGCGATGCAAAGACATGTACTATTTATAGACAGTATATTGATTTCTTTCATTAACCCCAATAATCAACAAACTGTCAAATGCAGATGCCTATGTGATAAAGAAAATAAAAACAGGGGCGTTATCTACTCTCAATCATTATTTTATTGAATGCCATTTAAGTATCTATTTCACCTGACTAAGCACAGCAACATTCCCAAAGTCCACATATGCAATACGCCCATCACGCATGGCAAAAACATTTCCAGGATGTGGATCTCCATGGAACAACCCAAATTCTAGCAATTGCCGCAATGCAGCACTGACTCCAACCGTTAAGAACCCATTTACGTCAATACCAGCTTCTTTAATAGCCTGAAATGCGGGGCAAGATATTATTGATATAGATATGATATCTCATTGCTTTAAAATATTTTATCTTGACAATATACCTGTGGGTTAGTGCACCGAATACCATCAATCCACTCCATCACTAGAACACGTGAACTACAAAGCTCTTTGTAAACCCTAGGAATTTTGACGGTAGGATCACCTTCAAAGTTCAGAAGAAAATCTTCAATATTGCGGGCTTCCTGTTCAGAGGAAAGAGATTTGGAGTAGTAATTAGAAAGGTCAAAAGAAAAAAGGCAGTTTAAATTGCATTCAAGTGACGATGGTAATGAAGTCATAGGCATAAATATAATGGGGCCAAAGTCCACTTTTAGTCCTCCTATAGCGCGGTCTGAAAGGTACCAAGGTGTAATCAAGCTCCTCCAAAAGCTTCTCACCAAATTCATCAACAATCAGCTCAGCATTGCACCCCAGTTTCTGTAGACTGATGCCATTTAAGAATGAAGCAAGAGTTCGGAAAAGAAAAAGATCCCGATAAATTATAGGTTCTATCTGCGGCCTTTGAACCTGTAAGTGAAAAAACAAACATAAATTTAGAATTTTTTTTTTTCAACATTTTTGCCACAGGTAATGTTTTCATTATTCTCACAACACAATAACTGTAGAGCTGTTAATGACCTAAGAAAAGGCCCTTTGGTAAACCTTAATAGCAACTTCCTCGCCAGAGTCTCGTAATGTAGCTCGGTATACTTGACCTAAACTGGCAGCTGCTATCGTTTGAGACGAAATTTTACTGAAAACAGATTCTAGGGGTCTCCCCATTTCTTCTTCTATTATGTCGAAGGCAACCTGAAGCAATGCATGCCATATGCTATTGTAAGTTAAGCAAACCCCACACAGTAAAAGTGTCTCATCACAAATGCAAGCAACTGGAACCAATGACTTTTTGGTAAACTGAGATTTTACCTGATTGGGGAAGGGAGGAACGTCATCTTGAAGAATGCAGAGTTCATTCATATAATCTTCTCTGATAATATCAGGTCTGTTTGCAAGAACCTTTCAATAAATGGGTGAAATCAGGAAATGTTTAATTGCGCAAGCATATGAATCTTAAATTCGTTGTCTGAGTGCAAGTAGATTTCAAATTGGTACTCGGTGAGAAAATTTCAACTTTGATACTTCATACTACAGCTGAAGTTCTGATTAGAATAATATGAACATGGTGACAAGTCACAGCCAGCAAAATCTCTATGATCTAAATTTCAGAAATCTCTATGTATAACCCAGAAAAACCATTTAATCTATTTAAAAAAGAATAGGTTGCAATTTAAAAAAAAAAATTAAAAAAAAAAAATAATCTGTTATTCGAGAATTATTACCTAAATATTAGAATTAGTCTAAAAAATCGTTGTCCCAAATGCATAGGATCGACCACAATGAATTCTCATTGTTCATTTTTTTTTTTGTTATGTGTAGGCAGTCTTTAGTTACATCTACATTTTTAGATCTTGACATATTACTTCTTCACTGGATAATCCATCTTATTCTTATTAAAACCTGATAGTAAACCTATAGTTGATGCATTATTTTCTCTTAATTTGCTTTGCTATGACAAAATTCAGTTTTGCAGTTAATCCAATGAAGTAAACTGACAAATTTCAGCAAAGACAATAGGATATAACTCATTTGAGTGAGGTTCAAACCTGGCCGGCTTTAATGAAAGAAGGCCCCAAATCACATAGGAGGTTTCTAAGCTGCCGAGCACGAGCTGAAACAACTTCTTCATCCCTTCCTATGACGTAGTCATACGCCAAGGTAGACCAGTAAAATCCCAAACTCCAGACAATCTCCACACCCCTCGAAAGTAACGACACAATTGCTCCTCTGGATTCCAACACCGTATTCCTCACCTAATTATAGATAACATCAAGAAATTCATGCCAAATTGAATACAAGTGCCTAACAAATTCACACCAAAAAAAAAAAAAAATACATCCAATTTTCAACTAGAGGATCATCGAATCCATACGAAATCAAACTCGAATTTAGTTCAGAAATGTAACAGATTAACTGAATTTCAACCAGGCTTGATCATTTGCATACCATCACAAGATTAACACAAAAATTCACAAAAAAATTACAAGAAATTAACAAAATATGAGATAAATTCACTGAGCTAGAGTTCAATTTCATACAGTTTCCGGACTGTACTTCCGAAACGGCACGCAAACACCGCGTTCGAAGTCGAGCTGCTCCATGGCCGCGCTAGGTTTGCTCAATTGCCTTTCGGCAGCAGACACCGGCAAGCTCCTCCGCGTTTCGATTGCGGCATTCGAAACTCGGAATCGCATGGGTTTCTTGCCTCTTCGTATCCGAAGCCTGTAATCGAACGACGCCGGACCACGCGAAGGCGCATTGATGCGACTCGGAACAGTGTGAGCTCGCGAGCTCAGGTGCTGATTCGCGGGAAACGGAGCTGCGGTTACGCAATTTACGCAGAGCAAATTCATGGATTCTGCTCTCTCAGTGGAGGTTGAGGGATTCGGGGAGTGAAATGGGAGTGGGATTATAATTTTTGGTGGTTAGTTGGGAAAAGGAAGAAGAGAGCAAGTAACGACTTCAAAAATTAGTTAGAAAACTAAAAAAGGATAATAATATTTATAATTTTATTTGTGTGATGGATGGGCATCCATCCACACACACAATTTTGTACGGGAAGGTTAGGTCTAACGGTTGGGAAAGTGACAGGCAAACTAAGCAAGTCTTTTCTTCCATTTAGTTTTTTGGTTAGATCATTTCATTGTTAAATGAGGTATTATTGTTCTTATCACTTCAACATAAAATGGTGTTAGTGTTACGTGTTGTTCGCTTACTAGATTTGTCTCATTTTATCGAGTTGATATGGTTAAGTTTTTTTGTTTTATGATAATTCTGATGGTAGATATGTCACGTTTTATGATTTTTGTGATATATGTTAGGTTTTTATTTTATTTTTTAAATATGACTATTTCTTAGCAAAAATTGTGGACTAATTAGACACCAACGACTTCATGCAATTATGGAATGCCTATAGCCCGTGAAGTTTAGGCGATCGTGCTAATTACCAGAATGCCTATAGCCTATGAAGTTCAGGTGATCGGACTAGTCAAAGGCATAATCAGATAGTTATTTTGCAATATTATTTGTCTCCGAAGCAAAAAAACTCAAATTTGAGTCAAATTAGGATATTCTTAGGATTAGGTGACGAAATCATAATTATAGAAAATTTGAATATTTTATCTTATATTCCTTCCTAAATAGTATATTTATCAATAGTAATTGCCACTACTCTTACTTTCCTGTTCTCAACCGTGTACTTGCATAAAGGTAATTACTATTTAGACTTTGAGTGAATCATAAGGGCAATTTAATCACCTTTGTCCTCCTAAAATGGGTAGACTTGCTCTTAGAGGGTTACATTTATCAGCAATTTTTTATCATTATTTTTATTTTTACAAATTGGCTAATTTTTTTCATATAAACTTTCAAAGTTAGTAGTTGGAGGTAAAATCACATATTTTGCCAAAAATTACTTTTGTTACCAATACAATTTCCCTTTTTTTGATATATTCACCTTAAATGCGACTTCTATTACAACGTATAGCGAACCAACTAGTTATCGGTTGTTTTTAACGGAATGAGAGGGCTTGAATGCTAAGGGGAAGAACCTGTACTAGAATAACTATATAGCAGTTATGAACACCAAGTTGTTCTTTACATTCCGAGAAAATTACCTAGAAATGTTTTTTGGTAAAAAAGAAATTTTTTTTTGGGGAGATTGGTTTCTCTCACCGTTTGGCTCTCTGTTGAAAATAAGTCTCACATTGATAGTAGAATGGATCTTACATAGACTTATAAGTATGTTGGGCTATTCTCCATATTCCTAATTGATTTTATGGTAGAACCTCAATTTTCTTCATGGTATCAGAGTAAGTTGTCCTATGCGTATGTGTGAAGCCAAACGGCCACACATGTTTCACGTTACCTTGTTGTGTTGTCAACCTATTAGGTTTAAAAATTTGTCACAGTGAGGGGGCGTGCTGATAATGAGTCCCACATTGATGGGAAAATGGATCTTGCTGGACTTATAAATAAGTAACCTCGAGCAGGAGGACTTATGTGTGACACTTAACTGCCTGCGATATGAATTTATGTAAAATTTTTACAGATCGTGCATCAATAAGAATTGATGACGATTGGACTTAAACCTTGGTGGAGCGACAAACAAAGCATGACCTTACCAAGTGAGCAAATTTTTTTATCGTGTAGAAAATAAACATTTGATGAGTGTTAATAACTTTGTATATGTAAATAACCAATTTTTCAAATAATATTTAATATTGGGTGATACGAAAATGAATTGTTAACATTGAAGATAAAAAATCTTATAATTGTGAAAATCAAATCAAACAATAAAATATTTGTAAAATTAAGTGTCACATAGCATTAAAGTTAACTTCATAAATAACAATTATCTTTCTCATATGCATAAAATATAAATCAATAATAATAATAAAAAGGACGGATTCAATTCGAATCATTTTTCCGATATGAAGACGAAAATTCAGCGGGTAAATAAAAAAGTAAAAACAAGATTGGCGGGAAGATTGTTTGCCTTCCTAAATATCTCAGACCGCCACTTTCATTTCCTCTCTCTTTCCTTTCCCAGATCGGTTTCTAAGGTTTTCAAAGATGTTCTCAGGCTCCCAATTCGACGCGACCAACGCCTTCTCCGGCGGTGGTTTCATGGCTTCTCAGTCCACTCAATTCGGCGATTCCACTCCCTCTCCGGCCAAGGTAACGCTTCTCTCGAATAACTGTGAAAAGTATGAAAATTAAAGAGTGTCTAATTAATTAGTTTGTAGTTTTGATGCTTATCTGCTTAAAAATTGATTTAGGGTTTCGGCCAAGTCGGTGTTTCGTCACTTATTTCCGTTTATGTTTGCTATTTATCGGTTTTTGTAAGTATTTTTGTTGCAATTGTTGTTTCAGCGCCGCGAAACTCACGGATTGGTTCCGGTGACGGTGAAGCAGATCAGCGAAGCTCATCAGTTCGGTGATGAAAAATCAAACTTTGTGATCAATGGTGCAGACGTTGCCAATGTATGTATGCACCATTTTTATTTTCATCGGGATTTTATTGTTTGTTACTCCTAACAGTCACTTGAAATGGAACAAAAGAGATTTCCGAAACGTTTCAGTTAATATGATGTTTGGTTGGTTAGGTATCGGTGGTTAGGATGGCTTTCGATAATGCCGAAAGGAACACTGATGTTGGTTTCACTGTGGATGACGGGACAGGGCGAATCAAGTGCCGAAGATGGTAGTTTTTTGCATTGTCCATTTTGATTCCGTTTATATTATCACAATATTAACTGTTTGAAGAGTTTATTGCATTTGGTGTTCAGTGAAATGCACAATCTAGCAACATAAGCTAGACATGTGTTTCGATTACATGGATAGACCCGTAATGATTTAAGTTCTGAATCTTCTATGTTTAATTATCTCAACAGGGTGAATGAGAATTTTGACTCAAGAGAAATGCAAGAAATAGAGTAAGTTATCTCACTATCATCAGTGAGTTTTACGTTGGAATTTTGAGTCTTTGTATATAGATATCGGGATTGTTGAGTAACCAAAACCTTGTGAAGTGCTAATACATATTATGTTCTGATCCATTTTGCAATAGAGATGGAATGTATGTTCGTGTTAACGGACACTTGAAAGTCTTTCAAGGTGTTCGACAGATTATTGCCTTTTCTGTGAGGTATGGGTATATAGATCTTCCTTTTTTTTTTTATTACTTTGAGTACCTGTAGAAATTTACACTTCTCATTGCACGAATGTATCATATGGATAATTTCAGATTGTCAATTGATGTAGAATGATGCTGGCAGGACTTGTCAAATATGAATATTTGTACATAGCACACACAATATACGCAGGTGACTACTGAGCTCAAACAAACATTGTGTCTCATATGTTTGAAGCAAGATAAAGGTGAATTTATAAATCTGTTAGCATAGATGTACTGTGACTACTGAGCTCTTGATCTGGCTCAACAATTTCTTAACTTGTTGGGAGTAGTCCCCCTGTCCTCTAGGTTACGTTGAAGTCTTTATGTATTGTCAAAGAACTCAGGTTTTCAGACAACTATTGTAGAAAAATGACATTCACTTTAATTTGGATATCTGATTAAAAAAATTGGTCAATTCTTTTTCTTTCTGTAAGGGAGCATTCTGTTAGTGTTGATTTGCTGCATGATTGACACGAACTAGTACTCCCTTTGGATGTTTTATTTATCTTGTTTTTGATGAATGTATGATCGTTGTATATCATGCTTTGTTGATACTGCTTTAACAACCACTCATACTAAAACTGACAGTATATGCCTTGAATTTGTTACAGGCCTGTGAAAAACTTTGACGAAGTTACCTTCCACTTCATTGAATGCATACATACCCACTTGCAGATGTCCAAGTTACATTACTATTTTGAATTGATGAACGAATTACTTTGTTTTCTGCATTCATTCACTTGAAGATGAATTTGATAGACTGTACCTTATAATTTATTAAAGCTGCAAGGGAACACTGCCACTCAAACCCAGCCTGTGAACTCATCTTTGAACACTCCTGTGGAGAGCAGGTCAACTGGATATCAGACAGCCCCGTCAAACCAATTATGTTGTCATTACTTGTTTGGCAAGCAATTAATGTTCAATTTTGTAGTTCTCCGGGCAAGTTAGCATTGATGGACTAAAGAGCTGTGATCAGTTGGTCCTTGACTATCTGCAGCAGCCTTCAAGCATGTGAGTAACAATTTTACTGTTAATTTCATTTCCCGATTTGGTTTTGTTTTTGTTGCCTAAGACATGTTGGCTGCAGCCTCGCATTTTAGTTATCTTGGTGCTGGTTGTATTGAAACTTTGGTACTGTTATTTCATTCCAGTGGAAAATAAAAGGGGATACACACAGATTAACTATTCCAGCACCTGAAAGTTCCCATGGAAAAGATCTTGTACTCTCTCTCTCTCTCTCTCTCTCTCTCTCTCTCTCTCTCTCTCAAACACACATACAAACAGACATGCGCTTGCACCTGCTCACACGCTGAAATATTTGATTCTTCTCTGAATTTCACTTTGGTATTCCAGTGAAGCTATCAGGTCTCTCGAGGAGGAAGGCTTAATATACTCCACAATCGACGAGTTTCACTACAAATCAGCAGCATATGGTTAATATTCATCACAAATTGAACTTGGTGCTTAGGGTTGGAACTTGGAAGTACCTGTATGAACACTGTTATGTGTATTTCTCTTCCCATATCTAATTTATCCCTTTGGATCTTCAGGTGGGTTCAGTATCAAAGTTCAATTTAACCGAGCTCGCTATTTTGGTTGATCAAAAAATGTTGCGAGATAACAAATTCAGTTTATACTAATCATTTCCAACTTAGTGTTGGGAAAATATTATTTCTTGTTTCCTTGTATTTTTGGTTATGTCATATCTTGTTTCCTACTCGTTCGGTTTTTGTCTCTAAAAAATCACGCTGCTAAAAGCTCGTTTGGAAGCGTTTTTAAAATGATCGAAAGTGTTTTTAGTTATGATTTTTAAAAATACTTTTTGAGTGTTTTATGTAAAAAAATACTAGTTATGTGTTTCTCTTAAGAAGTATCTTAAAGTGGTTTTTAGGATTTGCTTGTATTTTTATTAAAGATTGGTTTCAAACAAAATTTATCAAAATTCAACTGTATTAAAAGCAATGTATTAAAAGGCGAAGGCGTAGGCAAGACGTCCTATGGATAGCCCTGCCTAGGTGTGATGCGAAGCCTCACGGAACCTAATTTTTAAAAAATATATATTTTATATATTACATATAATTATATATAAAATAATATTTTGTAAAATTTTAAATGGTAATATCATCCAAATCTATTATAAAATTAACCAAGCATTACAATTAATCAATGGAACTATATATTATGTAATTACAATGCACGGCAATATTAATTATAATACACAAGTGAACACAGCACATAAATATTAATCACACATTGAGTGTACACATGTATTATATTAAAAAAAAGATTATTAATCAATAATCATCCTAAGCATACATATATTATAAATATAAATATAAATATATATTATATAAATAAAGGATGAAAAAAAACAATGAGTACACATAAAACCGCACGTAGACATCACACACATTCATTATATAAAAAAAAAAAAAAAATCAGAAACCCTAGCCGTAAAAAATGGGGATCTGAGGGAGTGCTGGCAGCAGTGCAGTCTTTGGGTGTTGCGTGCTGTCGCTGGGGGTGGTGGTGTTGCTGCTGAAGGCTGGCAACGGGTGCTGCAGAAGGCTGTCAAAGATTAGTGTCGTGGTTGTCGCCGGAGCACGCGGGATGGTGTAAGGAAGAGGTATAAGGTAGTTAAAATCTATCCAAAATTTGGGTTTGAGAGTTTTTTTTAATTTTTTTATCTTTATTAATTAATGAAACGCTCTTTGTCAACTAAAAGAGGGTGAAAAGACTACTTAGACTTCTATCACACAAAAAAAATAATGGGCAATAATGTAATTTCACAAATCCAAAATTTACTGTTTTTTATTGAAGCCTCAAAAAAAAAGAAAAAAAAAACCTCCCACTCCCCCCACGTTTTCTCTCTCCCTCTCTCCTTCTCATTTTCTAAAAAAATGTGTTTATACACACAAAATGTGTATGCAAATGCTAGTTTTTTTTATTAAAGCAACCAATAGAGGCGCCCTGAGGCACACCTCCTTCGCCTCAGCGGCTCGCTGTCCGCCCACTCCCTCAAAATAGAGGCGGCAACCCTCACGTCCGGCCTCAAATGCTGCCTAAGCACACCCTGAGACAAGTCTTTTAAAATATTGATTAAAAGCACTTTTAAACGAACTCTAAGTCTTTAGATACTATGTAATTTTCTTTTCTTTTGATTTCTCAGAAAACAACACAAACATCAAAATCCGTTTCTGGGATTAAAAGTCTTTGCCACGTGCACACACACTCTATACAAGAAAAGCTCAAGCGAAGTTACAATCCCATTATTACACGTGGCAGGTGACACCTGGCTGGTGATATCTCCTTCACGTGCAGCCCCTCACACTCTGAGATTTTGATCTTCATCCCCCTCAAGTCGGGGGCATCATGATCATGTCACTTTTATGGAATCATTTCCAATCAAAACCCAGTCAACAACAACTGTAAAAGTGTTCGTGTTCATAACTGATTCTCTCTCTCTCTTTCTCAGCCACAAACACGAGGCACATTTCTACTGGATAATGGATAATGTTTTCTCCCCAATTAATATTTTCACCCAAACTTTCTTAAGACAAGACTTTGGATAGTGTGACAATTATGTAAATAGTTTAGAAAAAATATAGCTTTTGTTTTAGAGTACAATTTTTTTGGCTTGGTTAGAGTATGATTATAATGTTCAGACTGCAAAAATTCGTTAATTACAGGTGTGGGATTATCTATTATAAGCGGGGAGGCACAAATGTTATCCTTAATGTAATTGCAATTTATAGAAAATTGTGCACATTCTTTTTCAAAATCGATTTTTCAAGCTTTTAATCATTTAAAATAGAACGTGAAAACCCACCCCAAAACTTGGAATCAATTTAAACCAAAAACAAAGAAAAAAAAAAAAGCATTCAAGAACAATTAAAGAAAGTGGGTGTTCGAACGTTTCTGGACATTTTGTAGGCATGAAGATGAGCAAACGTTGAAGTGAGACAGGACGTGCCTTGTAACGAACTCCCCAAAACTTGAATCTTGAATTCAAGATTTAATTTAAGTGAGTACCAATTGGTCAGCTTTTATAAATTCAGGGTTCACATAATCATATAAGCAAAGTAGCCATCAAACCGTGGTATGTCGTTCATATATAGCCACAAGCTGTGGCACTGTCTCTTCCTCACTAGGTAGCCATCTTAGGCTGGCATGGAACAAAAAGGAAATAGAATCGATCTATCTGCTTCTTTCAATGACATACACTATTATTATTAGATGATACAATGCCAAAATATTTTACAAAGCAACCCAAAATATCCAAAATAACACAAACACCATGTAGGTCTACTTTTTATTACAAATACACACTGAATTAACCAGGAAGGGTTAATTAGGGGAGACATGAATGAAACCTATGGCTGAAGCCATTCCTAAGTATACTCGACGTATACCAACAAACCCAAAAGCAGATCAATCACGTACTAAAAGAACCAAGTAACCTAGTGATATGAAGAAGAAAAAAGAAGGAGAAATCAACAACATATCAAGGAAGACTCACACAACTTTTGAATTCCAACTGATGTCACACAGATGCCTACGTGTCCCGAACGTGGAAGATATTGGGGTTTTTAATGACAATATCGTACATGTAAACAGAGTTGAACTTGGAGAAGTCACTGGGGAGAGAGATTAGATCGATCGAAGATCGCTTGTGGAACTGGAAGAGATCGGGGTCTCCTCCATAGTACCTCTCCCACCCTAACCCCGTCAATATTTCCTCGAGCATCGAGTAGGACGACACCACCTTTCCACTCGGCAAGTGCACCAAAGCCTTCCTGGAAGATGTCTCGGCCTGAGGATTTTCGACCAGGCGAATCACCCCATTCTTAAAAGTCCAAACCCCAGACATTTTTTCTTTCTGGTATCTGCAACTGGGGTTTTCTCTGGTGGGTAGTATTGGTTGTAATTTGTTGCTGCTCCTTTGGAGAAAGAGGAGGGGAAGGAAATGAATTGGGTTGGGTTGGTGTGGTGTGGGAAAACAGAAGGTGGGAGGGTGTATTTATACGTGTCAAAGAGACAAATAAAAACAAGAGGCAAATACTCATTGGGTGGGAGTGAGAAACTGAAAAGGAGCGTGATCGTGGGCATGTTTGGCTTTGGAAGAGAATCTAGATATTGTGGGACCAATGTGATTAAAATATGAGGGTGCATGGATGCCCCTAGGGTTTTTTGATTTAGGGCGCAAATCATCACCATCAACATCCAATTCCGTGGGGCTGGGGTTTGGAAGAATCTTTGTGTAGCTTAATTGCAAAATGCTATATTTTTTTTTCATCCTTTTTCTCTTTTTAATTTTTGGTGATGTGGGAATATTTCTACACGAATGCATGCCACTGTTCATTGTTTAAGAAAAGATTCAATAAAGAAAGTCAATGATGCACCCACTTATATCACGAGATGTCCACGTGAAGGGAGTGGGAGTGATTGGGTCGGGGGCTGGCTTTTGTAACCTTAAAAGCTAATTTTTGGTGTCTTGTCAAATCCGATTTGTTGGATGAGAGATGGTAAAGAGATTTTTTCAAAGTAAGTCTCTTCTTAGATTCTTTGTCATTTTACAGGTTAACGTCAATTCACCTACTTATCAACATTATAAAATATTACGCCAAAAACATGATGTAATAAAAAGTTCATGGAGTCTCATGTGTTATTTTCAGAGTTTCCAACTAAAAATAAAAGCATTAGTAATGTAGTTTAGTTAAAATGGACGTTTTTATTTTGTCATTGATTTTTTTCAATTCATTCAATTCGACCACTGAAATTGAGAGGGGTGTATGAAAAGTGAAAATAGGTGTGTGAATATCACTTTCCTTTAGTTATTGATCATAAAACAAGTAGATAAAAACTTTAGACAAATTAGAAATTAGGTAACCAAAGTTACTATTTTCATCATTGAACTTTTAAGTGGGCAATTGTGTTTGTCTTCCTACATAAATTAGATTTAATTTGAATGATTCTTGTAATCACGAATGATTAATCAGATTAAGTTTTTTTAGAACCCAAAAAATTATAATTCAATTCATAATGCGATTTTCGTTTCTTCAATACTATTTCAGTTTTAATCAGAATAATTTTTCTCTTTCTATTTTGTTAATTTAGAGGCATATATGATAGAGTTATAATCTTTGAGCTCTTCTCAAATGGACATACATTTAATTGCATACAAATGTTATCAAATACATATTTACATTCTCATTAGGGTTCGACTCTTTAAAAAAAAATCAATTATTATTCAAAAATGAGCAAAAGAAATGGGAATATTTTTTTATCATCACCCTTAAGTGGAGTAATTGATAATTACCACACTATATATCACTATTAGGTGAATTTAATTTTTGAGATTTATGTAGTCGATAGACACAAATGTCAAATTTTAAATTCATCAAACGGTAATAAATAGGTGGTGAGCATTACCACTACTTGATGGTGGTGAGGAAAAATGCACCCCAAAAAATATCTCAAAGAAATCGAACTCCAACTCCTATACCATCCTATGGAGTACATATTTGCTTTCTCATTAGGGTTCAACTATTAGGCCATCTCCAATCGACCCGGCTAAAGGACCATAGGGCTAAAAATAGCTCGGAATGACATGAAAACATTCTCCAACCGAGGGTTAGGCCAAAGGACTTGTGGGCCCCAACGGGCCAAAACACCCAAATCAGGCCAGCAGGCTGGCCATTTCTAGCCAGCCAACCAGCCCCCAGTCCAACCCACTTGCCTTCCAACGGCTAGCTGATGTCAAGTTACCATTGGAATTTGAAAGTTTTTAGTAAAAAAAAATTCAAAATTTTTTCCCTATAAATACCTAAGTCATTCCTATATCATTTCTCACATAATTTTTACCATTCCATACTATCCGAAAAATTATTGAGATTATATAAAGATAAGAAATCCGGAGGCTTATTCATTTAGTGACAAGTGACATTCAAAATATGTCTGATAACCTTATTTTAATATGGTAGTTTAATTTAATTAACCATATTAATTCAATTAAAATTATAAATTATTGAGGGGGTTATGTTTGGCCTATGATCCTTTGACACTCTCAGTTGGAAATGAGTTTTTGGTTAAAAGGTTATGTTTGGTCAATAACCTTTTGTCTCATTCGATTGAAAATAGTATATAATATGGTATATCATTATTCATTAGAATAATTTTTTTTTGCAGAACTAAAAAGCTAATCACGACGCTTTGGTCATTTTTCAGTTAGAGATGGCCTTGCCATCTCCTCAGCGACCTTTGGCCTCTTTCGTACTCATCAATTATGTACTAAACGTTAGTCTGTTGATAGGGCAGTGTAAAAGCAAAAGTGAAAAGATACATAAATATCTTATTTAATCTAGCACAAATACGTTATTTAATGAGTGTAATAAAAATGACTCTTTACGGACGACACATATTTTCTGTAAATGAATGGGATAACCAGTTCAACAGTAAAAGTATGTGTGTATAATGGTTAATAATTAGTAACTTAAAAGTTAAAACATCGAAATTCCATTGAATTAGATTATGAGTTTACTCATTCATAGATAAAGTGAAAGAAAATAATAAGGTATTAAACACTTTATGGTTAAGATTAGACAGTCAATTATTGTCCTTAATGACAAATTCCCAACGCCACTCAAATCTAAATTCCCAACACCACTCAAATCTAATCACAGCCTCGAGACATATCAAAGTCAATTCAAAGATAATTGAGCCCTAATGTAGTGTGCTTTGTCATTCAAAAGGACCACTCTCAATAATCATTGTAAAAAAATCATGGTTTTTCCACATGTCATCACATGGGCATACATGGTCCTGTAGGAGGAGAGGAAAAAGGAGGCCGTCTTGTCAAATCCATGATTAGTGTTTTACATAGGATATTTTGGAAGTTAAGTTTCTCGCCACATTCAAAAGGGCCTGTGAAAAATATGACAACACAGAAACTGTAATGTTCTTCAGTGAACTTAACAATAACAAATCAAGAACCATGCGACAAGAAATCAATTTCAGTACAAATGTTGGCTTCTGCTATAATTACTGATGCACTTTACGTCATCTGTTTCTTACTGTTTGCAAATTGGAAAAAAGAAAAATTTTGTTTCGATTAGTCAAATATTGAGTTTTTTGTTGATTAGGTAACTTATAAGAAATAGATATTAGGGCTGTCATTGTCCACTGCATCCTTCATTTTCTGTCTTCTTTCTTTAAATTTAACCAAATAAACTTTTCCAGTGGTTGATGTTGAATCTAGGATCAAAACTTCACGTAATCATGTGGTGGAGGGCGAATCTGTCATACTTGATCAACCATGTATGAATAATCTTAATTTATGTGGGTTCATTTGGTTAGGGATGCATATCTAATTCAACATATAGTTGATTAAATTTGGTCTAATGACAGTCTGTTTTTATTTTGTTATAGTAATTAAGTACTAAGTTCATATTTCATAAACGACAATCATTGAATAAAAAAATATATATTTACCAATTGATCGGATGCAAATTTAACAAGATATAGATTAAAAATTAATGTAATTAACTAATCCACATAATTAAATTTCTCTCATACAGTATTAGAAAAAATAAATGTACACAATCAAAGTAACAGTGGTCCTCGATCAACTTTTGAGTTTAAAAGTTGATATTCCCATGTTCCCCCCTCGTGCATGTAGAGAGCATTGCATGCAGGGCTTGTGTATGCCTTTAGGCCTCCAAGCCCCTCAAGCACAATGCCAACTTTGCTTCTGTTTGTTCCACTTTTTCCATGCCCAAGGTCCTACTGATATAGACTCCCTCCTAACTCCAATCCTTTCAGAAAATCTTGAGTGGTACCGAATTCCTTCGATCCTGGTCATCTCTGTCGTTGTTACCATTTCCGTTTCGGTATTATCCACTACAGAAGTATCCAGGGTTACCCAATTCCTTCGATTCTCATTTCTTTCACCATAGAAATTTATTTGTCTAGAACGTTCATTGCCATGTCAAGTGGATTGCATGCTGCAGTTTTTAAGCTGCACTACCTGCTGGTATTATATTGCATTTGCTAATTACTTCAATTTCTTTGTTCGTGTATTTCAATGAGGCTACCCTATTTATTGTTTAATTGCATGCTAGGACCTATTAATTACTAAAATTTCAACCATGAATCTTGCATATTTGTTATACATATCAAAGTCGGTAGAATTTCAGCCTTTGGTTCTCTTACTATAAATGTTTAAGTGATAAGGAAATGTGTGCTCCTTTCAGGAAACACTTGAAATACTTTTCTAGGGAGAAGTTGAATTTTATTAAAAGTTTCAAACACTTCTATTGAAAATGTTTCTGAGTGGAAGTGTATTTTAAAGAAGCAATCCAAACAATTAAGGGCAATCAACTCAATCATTAGTTTGAGTCCTTAATTTTCTAACAAAGAAGTTGATAGAAAAAAAAATGGGAACTCAATACAAATTCAGGGGGTATTCGATGGTTTAATTACTCTCTTAATGAAGGTGATAAAAAAGCGGATACCACCTCTTTCATAGTTTTGTTTTGTTATTTGTTTTACAAACGATACCGTTAATGGATTAAATAGTTAATTGTTAGTGGGAACAAGAATCAGTGAGAATCGAACCTGTAGAGCCAAAAATAATCAAGAAAAATATGGAGGCGACACGTGGATTTTTGGGTTAAAAAAACAAGATTACCCTCGAGGCACATCGGAACTCCTATGCGCGAGCAATGGACAATCATCACTCAATCAAGGTCAAAAGTGATCAAAATAGGTGTTTATTCAAAACCTATTTCATCCATCCTCATTAAATCTTCCCCACAAGGTAACTCCCAAATTATTTCTTTCAAATTATATTGATTAGCTAATTAATTGATTTATTACTCAATTAATTCATTAATTAGCTAATTGATGGTGATTACCACCCAAAAAAACCACTAAAGTGGCCGGTTCCCATCTTTCCTAAAGGGGCCGGCCACACCCCTATAAATACCACCCCATTTTC